GTATATATTCTTTAACTAAAAGAAACGCTTTCCTCTTTCCGACACTAATTTTCGACGAATGTATTATAACTTGTGTCAAAAGAATTTATTACATAATGAGTGACACAAATTTTAATATATTTTTATTTTCTCAAAGTACTTGGCAAAAAATAAAATGTCCTGCGTTTATAGAACGCACTTTAATGATAATAAAGATGTTGTTCTCTGTGTAAAATTGTTACTCATTTTATATTTTCACGAGTTTATCTTCCGTACATCACTGAAACTTTTGACATTCAAAATTATATCTATTTACAAAGTAAATAAATGCATTGTTATAAAGTATTAACGTCAATTTTAAAAATCCTATTTCCTCATTATTATATTTGACGTTAATTTGATGTAAATTTTATAAAAACGTACTATAAATATATAAGTACAAATATATATCGTCGATTATTTAAACATTTTGATAAAATAATTATATGTTAATTACGCGATAAACTTTCTTCGTAAAAGTAAACTTCACGATCATTTAGCGATTGCACTGGTCGACAATTTAAAAGTAACGGACCTTCTACTGAACAGATTTTTCGAAACTTTTCTACCTACGATAATAAATTATATTATATATGAATATTATATATAAATTATATTACATATGATAAAGCCGGCAAATATTTTAGAAACATTAAGATTTAACCTGCAACGAGGATATAGCGATTGGTTCTTGCTGCACGATCCACGTGACGATTTCACTGCAAGGTGGTTGGCTAAGAGAACCGCTGTACGTATAATAATCTCTATCAAAGGGAGCAAAAATCCATTCCAATGGGAAAGGAGGTATGTAAACTTTAGATCCAGGGCAGGTAATACGCCACAAATTGCTTACAATATGATCCAAATAAGGATTATCTGCGTCATTTATCTATTATATCATTGAATATGTCATAATAAGCAGCAAGATCATAATGATCAATCAAGTGATGATAAATACAATACATTTTGTCTACTGCATTTATTTAGTTTCTCATTTTTATCATTTATTTATTTTTATTTAGTAACGCAAGGCTTATACCTGAAGAAAGAACGAAGCAATCACTATCCCATCTTTTTCTTTTAGTGCGACTGCATCCGTTGGCGATTTAATTCCATGTTTCACGTGAATGATTTGCAATTCCATAGGATAACGAACGTAGTCTAAAGTATGTTCACTACCTTCTTCGTTGGACGGGCCCCAATGGAAGAGAACATTAAAGAAATCGTACGTATCGTTTAAGGGTCCTCCACGAAGCTGCGGCCATGCTGTGCTGGTCCAGAATCCGCGGAGTGTCACTTTATATTAATGTAAAATATTATATAATATTTATTAATATAAAAATTGTTTAATAACTTTAATAATTATTAATATAAAATATTATATAACATTTATACATACTATTAATTTATTTTAACAAGTCTATTCTACCTTACTTTATTATACTACTCAACAATCACAATATTTATTACAACCACAATATTATTATACTAACCAGCAAACACAATGTTACATGTAACGTATATGTAATACTATGTATGTATATGTAATAACTCAATAATGTAATTGTTGCATAACACATGCGTTATATAACAGTTATATTATTGAGTAGGAAATTACAACTAACATATACGTTACATATAACATTGTGTTTGCTGGATAGAGTATTATTAGAAGATATATCATTCAATGTATTTTAATTGTTTGTAGAAAATTTACATTTACCTGTATGGCCATCATTTGCGATAGTCATCGACAGAGGCCCGCTATTATAATTGCTCCATCGAAGTGGTTCAGATGGTTGCACCACTACGGCGAGCCTGGTGGCGATATTAATAGGCGATTGATTGCTACCGGCACTTTCAGGATATATATCTTTCCAAGTATGAGGACCATTTTGATAAGCGTAACCGAATGAAAAAGCGGGTGGACGGTAATCGTTTTCTACCCATCCGAATAATTGCGTCCAATCTAAGATCTCGGTTAATAGTAGCACTAAAATTGAACAATTTATATTCTAATAATGTTCAACGAAAAAAGTAAGACTTTAGATTTGCAAGTAAATGTTATAAATAAACCTGTAGACTATATTATAATATTTAATTGTTTTTTTGATTTTGTTTACGAGATACGTACCTACGAGTAGGACGCTGCTACACGCAATCATACACTCCGCTAACGAGAAATACAACATTTTTCTAATTAGCAGGCTTTATTTGACATTTATGTTTAGTTTGGTTTTGTTGTACTCCCGGCGTAATAATTTGCAAACGAGCTGTGCACTTGAGAATTTATCCAGCATTTCATACCGCGTGATAATTTCAATTTAAAATAATGAAAGTATAAAATAATGTAAATGTCAAATGATGATTTTTACCAAAAGTCAATGTATAAAGCCTACTTCAATTTATAAAACTATATAATGTGAAGGTAATCCCATAATTGTAAATAAAAATTTAAAGGTATTATTACGCGTTAGCAATTTTTCACGTCAAGATGATTGCGATATTTATATTGAAAGTAACATGTCCAGCTTAGAAGCGATGAAAATTTAAGTTTAAATTATCTTTTCTGTTCGAAAGCTTGATACACTCATCGTTATGTACAGATGACATCCAAATCTAAAGGCGTACGACCACGTAAATAAAAAAATGATAACCTTCTGTTTATCTTATATATAAAAATTTTATCTAAATATATGTGACATTTATTTAAAAATAATCTGATTGATAAATGCTATTTAAATCTACACAAGAACAAAAATTATGCACGACATCGTCTTCGGGATTACCGAAATGGCGGCAATCTCCGATCGATATCAATCGCGTCATCGCGTGGAGCAAGAAATTTCCGCCCTTACTTTTGACAAACTATTGGTCAAACGATGGCACAGCGACACTTACAAATACTGGCAATACAGGTTCTTTTTATTCGGTAAATATTTAAAATAACGTATATATATATATTTATCATTTGATAATTTGTAGTTAATATCGAATTGGCGAACAAAAAAATACCGACAATGCGTGGCGGTCCTTTGAAAGATGATGAATTTCAATTTATGAACGTGCAATTTCGATGGGGCCCGTCCGACTGTCGAGGCGCGGAACATTCTATCGATAACACTTGGTTAGAGAGATGAATTTCATCATTAAGATTCATTATTAAGAGTTAATAATCATACATGAAGAATGTATCAATCATATTTTTTATTTAAGTTTCAATTTTTATTTTAATTAAAATTCAATATAATTTTAAACCGCACGTTTTTTTTAGCATAATTAATATTCATCAGTGCAACTTCTAAATGACAAATATTTAACAGGTATTCGATGGAGGCGCAAGTTATGCATTGGAATACACGTTATGGATCGATAGACAAGTGTTATGACAAATCTGATGGAATTGCAATACTCTCCTATCTTATGCAGGTTTAATCAATCAAAAGTTAATTAAAATCCGATATATCGGAATTTTTCCGTTTTTGCAATAGACAGTATTTCGAGAATAATCATTTTGTTGGAAATTACTGTTGCAACTTAATGAAATTAAAACGTGTATAATTGTGACGAAAAGGTCGTTGGCTGTTCTGGGATTCCGGATAATCCCGCGCTTGTTCCAATCACTAATAAACTTTCGGAAATAAAACGGGCGGATAGTGTCGTGAATATCACTTCTGGTAATTACGTAATGTAAAATCATTTTTAATAATAATTATCATATTAGTTAATCACGCAGAATAGATCATACAACTATCAGTATAGTATTTTTTCTTTATATGATTATAAAAGTGTTTCTGCAAAAAGTATCTTTATAGAATATTTTCGTAAAATTCCTTGATTTACTCTTCTTAGGGGAATATTATGTGTAATATTTTTAATCGATTATGTATTTATGATGTAGACTGCCTACGTTGGATGATGAATGTATGTATGTGTCCTGGATATTATACTTATTCGGGCTCTTTTACTTTTCCTCCGTACTATGAATGTGTTACTTGGATAATTGTGCCAAATCCAATAAGAATATCTTCCCATCAGGTATATTGAAACTGTGTTAAACGTAAATTTAACTTTAAAGATTATGTACAGCTAAAAAAATTAATTATGATAATAATAATATGCTACCATAGATTGAGGCATTTAGGAGTCTTTATGATCACAAATGGGAACATATAGTAAGGAATTATAGATCGCAACATCTTCTTCATGGAAGAAGGATTTTCTTTGCCACAAATGATACGGTAGCTTGATTGATGACATATCGTCATCAAGGAAATTTCTACGAATTACATCGAATCCATATCGAGCAATTAAACGTAAATGTGAATAAACAATGTGTTAAAGCATGCTATTCGTATTTGATTTGATTCTTGCTGTATATATGTGTTTTTGATTTCTCCACCACTCCCATCAATCGGCGGTGATAAAATGATAAAAATTAGCTTTGAGTAGGCTACAAGGTTGCAAAATCGTTGAATTAACGACAGGTAGTTACACGATAAGCATTATCTTGAAATTCAGAAATGATATGCTCTTTCTCTATTAACATTTATGCCAGCAAAAAATATAACGCACGTAGAGACCACATTCAATTACTTCATTAAAATAAAAAATTGCTTTAGTTTTATTTTACAAATTATTGGTTTAAAAGTACAAAGTAATCAAAGGGAAATAAAAGCTTTATTTGTAATAAATATTTTATTTTAACTGTAATATGGTCACATTTATTGTAAATTACAGTGAGCTTATTTCTTTATCCAATGATTCTCTCATGCAAATATCATACTTAATGTAGATATTAATTACATATACATACGTGGCACACACACCCGTATTTACATTTCACTTTTTATTATTTAATCGTTACTTTATAAATTCAATCGTTACATAATAATTACATCAATTTTATAAATAGATAATTTATTTAAATTTTACGAGAAATTTGCATAAGACTCAAAGTTCACAAATATTAAGGCAGCATTGTATAGGTATTCCAGTTGTTCCTAAACATTAAATAAAATATTTAAAGTGAGTATATGTTTTACAAAATTTCTCCGTATAATATTTATATTTTTCGTTTCTATGTCTTATAATATAAAAAATAATAATTTAATTTTTATATTAATAAAATTCTTATCATAAAAATTTATAATGTCATAAAATTGATATTATACCAGAGAATGAACGAAATCTGATCTCGCTCGTTTAACAACTCGTACCGCCATACAAACGTCGCATTCTCTTTTAATGGCCATTCTCTCTAATAAAAAACTCATTGCTAAATAGAGACCGCACCCAGTTACGCCATCACTGAAAGATCACTATTTTATTTGCTGAATTATTTTTTAAAAACATATTTAAGATTAATTATTTATGAGAAATCCGCAAATATTATTTATTATTAATAAAACTTTTTAAAACATAATAATTTGGAATGTCATAGTTTTCACATAGATTTTCATCAGTATTATATCCTTACTGGCAAAGCGTAACAATCGGTCCATCGCCTTTCGCAATTCTTCCTACAACATGCCAAAACTTCACCATCACCGTAACCGGCGGTGGTGGTTGATTCTTTCCTGGTTTCCACTCTGTTAAATTCAATATAGTAACAGATTGTTCCCTCGATTGTTCCTGCGATGAAGTTGTTACATTAAACATAAAATTGAAAACTGTGAAACTGTCAACCTCGGAATTACGACTTACCTCGGAATTATCAATAAGCAGCAACTTCTGTGACGTATAATATTCCATTTTCACAGTTTCTCTCGCTCTGATGGTCAAATAAGGAGTCGGTTTAAACTCGCTACTTGCAAGAGTGATTGAGCAGCAAGTCTAAAAACTCAAGGTGTATAACTATATTGCATTTATGCACTATAAAATTTGCGTTAATTATTTATTATAATAATATAGCATAATTTAAAATAATTTATTAATTTAAAATGATATATAAATAATATACAAATATAATAAATATGAAAGAGATGTTCATACAATATCTTGAAGATCAGGCGGCTGCAGCATAACAATAAGTTCAACTTTTAATTCGGCAATCATTCGCCAGAAATCAATAATCGTCGAAGGCATTGGAAGTTGCGTTGCTAGATATTGATTCTGGAATCTTACTCCGTCCACGTAAACAGCGGATAAATAATCACTATCCTCATCTAATTCCGAATATCTCGTCAAATATATTCTATTATTCATATCTATAAAATGAGAAATAAACCTTCATATGTCTAATATTTATGTTGCTAAAAATTAATTGGAAATTACATAAAACTTGTTTGCTTGCATTGTTAATGAGTAAAAATTTAAGATATGAATTCATAAAATAATTTTCAACGTAATTAAAATGTTTATCAACAAACTTGAAATCAATTCCGGAAATCTATTTTTAGCTCGATTACGTTCCGATAGCGATGGTAGAGGTGTAACTTGTTGTAGGACTTTATCTTGCCAAATATTCTGTAATCTAAGAATTGTGTGTAACTTAAGATACTTTCATAACATTATTTCAATTTGTTTAGGTATAAAAATAAATTTTAATAAATTCATATACCTCTGTTGTTGAATTGGTAATTGTTTCTTTAATTCCTTAATTTGCATCGGTAACGTTTTATTACATGGTAAAGAAGTCGAAATGGAAAATAAACATTCTATTAATATTAAATGTGCCAGTATATATTGTTGTGTGTTATTTATCATGTTCGCTCTTTCGCTTGTTATGGATACTGTTTCGGCAAAGACGTCGATCATCTAAACAATTTAGTTTACATAATCTTTTATGTAATTAAAGAAATATTGAATACAATTAATAAATTGAAATGACATTATCAAAGCAATTATAAAGTAACATGTCATTATTGCCTTTTCAGCTGCTGCACGACGGAGACAAATATCGCACAAAATAATAATTCCGGTTCTTCCAATGCCAGCACTACAATGAACTGCTATGGGTCCTTTTCCAGATGATATCGCCAATAATTTCTTCAAGTATGTGACTATGGAGTGCGTGTACAATGGCATACTGTAGTCTGGCCAAGCCGTATAATGAAGATGTTCTATCTGTTGTGTTGATGTGATTTAATATAAAAATTATGTGTTCAATGTGAAATTAAAATATTAATACCTTTCGAGTTTCTTCTCCGTAAGTGACATAGAACGTTCTAAAACAGTAATCAGCAAAGACATTATGCTCTGCATTTAATACAATAATATCGCCATATTTCTTCTTTTTTTTAATATCCGGCCAATACTGTATACATTTTGTCTGGAAAAATTAATGTTTAATATTTACACAACAGAAATAAATATTAATTTTGTATTTTTCTATTATTATTCTAGATTTTGTATCTAGGCTAATATGTATCTTTATTATCATTTAATTAGAAGGTTTCAACGTTATAATTTTATATGTTTTATATAAATTTTGTATATATATATATATATATATAAATAAATTATATACACGTACATATATATTGCAACTATTATGATTTAATGAGAAAATAACATTTACCTTTCCACTTTCAACAATATTTGTCAACATACAGATAATAAGAACATTTTCCTGCCAAATCATACGCCAAAAATCGAGAACTGTATTTAGTTTAGGACTTTGCGTTGCTATATAACACTTATTCGTTTTATATCCCTTTTAAATAATAATTATTAAAATTAAATGAATATTTTATCAACATAAATATACAAATATTATAAATACACAGACACAATTTTATAGCTTTGTTTCAAAACTATGATATTCATGATTAATTATGACTTACGGTGATATAATTAGCGTTAATATAATCGGAGTAAGCTTTATCTGGGAGTTTTTCTAATACTACGCGCGTTTTGTCATCTGTAAATTAATAATAATAATAATTTTAATTTGTTACTTCATAAGTATAAATATGTATATATAATTAATTTTTCTATACATGCTGTAAGACTTTTGTATCGATTTTTCAATTTGTTCTCCGGCAATTTTCCGAAATCCGATTTCTGTATTTGCCCTCTTGAAAGAATCTTAAAAAAAAGATCTTGAAATGTCTTATTGTATTGAATTATAATATAATTACAATTTTTA